GTCATAAAACAACATGTGTACTTCTGTTTCATGAGAAACTATTTGTTCTGTAAGCCTTCACCTGAAGTACAATTAAAAAAAAAATATATATCGTGATTAAAAAAAAAAAAAACTGGGCAAGGATAGTACAAATAAAGAAGATCAAACTGCAATGCCAATTTTGAATACAGATGAGTGAGAGGTAAATAAAATACCAGCAAAATGAATACAGCAGTATATTAAAGGAATAATGATAATCACATTCAAGCAGGGTTTAACCAGGAATACAAGAACGGTTGAGAAACAAAAACTATCACTGTGATTCACCCCGTTAATAGACTAAGAGGTTAAAACAGATCAGGAAAAGTTACTGGGTAAAATAAAAATGCTATTCTAACTCCTCTCACAGAATAAACTCCAACTCCAACCAGGCTGTGACCCTACTGCTCCAGTGTCATCCTCCAGGGCAGCGGCCCTACAGTTCCCCCCGGAGGTTTCCTCCCTCAGGACCTGGTTCCCACCCCCCTTTCCAGCCTCAGGCAAGTGCCTCCACTTAAGGGGCCTTTACAGATACCCTCTCCCTCTCTCTTCGGGACAAGACTTCACTTCTTTTCAACCCCATTTCCTTTTAAGGCAGGGCCCTCCCAGCCGAGGAGACCCCCACATATGCAAAGTAGAACTGCTCCACTGGGTTTTCTTTGCAGTGATCTTTTCAGGAGCAGATCGCAAGGCCTTTCTTTCGCTGGGCCACTAGGTGGGTCCAACCGCCAACCTTTTGGTTAGCAGCCATCACAAACCCCTTGTGCCACTCTTGACCACGATGCCTGTAAAGGGACCGTGTGATGAGCTGCAGCCATTCTAAGCTGCTGCCTAAGGCATCGTAGGCCATGCTAGACCAGCACACACCCAAGGTCTGGACATTTAGATAAGACCCCAACCTTAGAGTTTCCGCCTCACTATCCCTGTGACTTTTCAAAATAGCCACTTAGAACTAAGCCAGCGTAAGCTAGTGACCACCGCCCTAAATACCCTGTAAGTAACAGGTGCTTGCTGTTCTGCTCTCTCGCTCGGGACCTGGGACGGCGGACTGCCTTCCCTGGCTCGTGTGCGCCCCCGTTTTAGGAACTGTGAGAAACAAAGTTATTTGTTTCACTGCCTTTGTGTGCGGGTATTGAAACTACGCCTTCAAACAACCCAGAATATTTAGGGCATTTATAGCCCATATGCAGGTGGTCCCACCAGCTGACCCCCGTGGGGTGCTGCATGCCTCCTTCTCCAGTGGGCCCTCATTATTTCTGTCCCTAATTCGCCAATTATTGTCACAGGACGTTCCCACCTTCCTTTTTACTCGCCGGGCGGCGCGGGCGAGTTCCTCTACCTTTTACGCGCTTCCACAGCTCACCTGTCCTCGGGTTGCCTGCCTCCCGGCGTCGGCACCACCCGATCGCCGAGCGGTCGCCGCTCAGTTATTAGGAGAACGGATAGGAGAGCACCTCCCGGGCAGGCGGCTGCGCCCCAAGCCCTGAGGAGGGAGGCAGGGCTCGGCTGGGCCTCAGCGCCCCGCGCGAGAGGAGCGGGTGGGGCTGGGACTACAGTTCCCAGGAGGCCGCGCCCAGCGCCCCGCCCACCGCAGACGGAGTCCGAGTCACGGGTCTCGGCTGCAGTTCTCGGCGGAAGTTTTGAGGCGCCGGCCTAGAAGACGAGGGCGGTGCGTGTGTCACGAGTTGTGGGCTGGACTGGCCAGTGGACGCGTACAAGTCGGCGTAGGGGCACGTATGTGACGGGGCGGGGCGTGTACGTGACGGGGACGGAGTGCGTGCCTGACGTTGTGGCACGTACGTGACTGGGTGGGAGCGTGCATGATGGGGCGGGCACGTACGTTGACGGGGCGGGGCGGGGCGGCCCGGGGCAGGAGGCGGTGTGAAAAGCTAAGGAGCGGCGGTGGCGGGGAGGGCGGGCTGGGAGATAGGTGCTGCTGCCCGGCGCTCGACTCGCAGACTCACCTACGCTGCTTTCGCCCTGGCCAGCTGCCCTGCACGTCGCTTGTTAACGGAGTCGTGGTTCTTCATTGATTTTGCCCTTGCTTCTGCTATTGTGACGGGTTTGCTTACCCTCATCGAACCTTCTAGTTGCTTGTTGCAGGTATTTATGAAAGTGCTGATTTTTTGTGTTTGCTTCGTAATCAGATACATATTAACCCGTGTGGTAATATTGCAGTTTATTAATCTGACCTTTCTAGTTAGATGGTAATATCATCCATAAACTGTTTAACTCCTTGCATGTATTACTGTTTTTCCCTTCGCCTTGCTTTTTGAATAATGTCGCGTCAGTAGTGTTAATAGCAAACATTCCTGTTTTGTTAAAAATAACGACAATGTGCTGGTGGTTGTTCGAACCAAGTATTATCTGAATAATACAAAGTAAGGTTCCTTCCATTCCTGCTTAGTTTTTTTTTTTTTCTATTTATGAATAGAGGCTAAAATTTTTGTATACGACCTTTCTAGCATCTGCTGAAATTATCTTGCTCTTTGTTGAAGTAGGAAATTTCTTAATTGTAAACGCCTTACCTTCCCGGGAGGAATCCAAGGTGCATTTCATACTGGTTTTAAAAATATAAATACTGTTTTATTCTGGTCATAGGTATTATAGAAGTTTTATGCTAAGTCCATTGGCAAATAGACTATTTGTTGGTCTAATCTAAAAAATTTATAGGCTCTGTGTGGGACAAAGAACTAGTTGGCCCTTTGTATCTGGTTTCTGAAAATAGCTTGAGCTGGTAAGGTGCTTTTTGTTTTCTAAAATATCCGGGCAAGTAGGGGCTACACAGGCATGTAAGGACTACACAGGTCCCACACCTGGTGAATTAGCTTCAGGAAAGGAGGGTTCCGATGCAGTCATGCATATTCAGTGATTGCATCCATCATACCTATGCATTAAGGCCCCAGTTATGCATATTCACTGGGGTCCCAGTGGACCTTAGAGTGCTGTCTTTGGGGCCTCCTGGGTTGGTGAGAATATCCATGAATGGAGGAGGGTGACACATCCCTAGGGATAATGGAAGTCATGTGCCGGGAACTCTCCCAGAACTTGCCTGATGTGTCTTTTTACTTGTATATTTTCTGGTTGTAATAAATGGGTAACTGTAACTATAGGTAGTACTCTCTGTGAATTTTGTGAGCTATTATAGACTGTTAACAAACGCACAAGGGGCAGTGGGATTCCAACTTAGCTCAAGGTCGCTAATTCAGAGGAGGGCTGTGCAAGCAGTCTTTAAGTACAGAGCCTTAACCTGAGATAAATGAGCTTTGGGTGAGTGGTGGACAGAGAAATGCTGCATGGGCAGTTGATGAAGAAGGACAGAGTCCTTCTAGCTTGTGACCTAGCCTCAGGTGGATAGAGGGAGAGACTGTGCAGAGAGTTGTACAGACTCCTGAGCCTACGGCTGGAACCCAATGACCTGTCCCCGGGTGGCCAGGGATTTTTTTTTTTTTTTTTAAATAATACTTTATTGAGTTTTTGGTGAAAGTTTACACAGCAAGTTAGGTTCCCATTTGACAATTTTTGCACAAATTGTTCAGTGACAGTTAATTTGTCACAGTGTGTCTGCATTCTCTTGTGTTCTGTTTGTTCCATTTCTGTTACTCTAGTTTTCCTGCCCCCTTATCTTCTCATCTTTCCTTTTGAGTAATTGCTGCCCTTTTGGTCTCAAACGGATGATTTGTAAGTAGAGCACCCATCTTATGGGTAATATCCTTTATTTTGTGTGTGACTCTGCTATTTCGCTAAAAGGTGATTTTAGGGGATAGACTCAGTTCTAGGTTTAAAGAGTATCTCTAGGTGATAGTCTCAGGTAGTCAGCCAGGGATGTTTTGACCTGACTCTGGGTTGTTAAGTGAGAGAGGAAGTGCCACAGAAAAAGTAGCTGACAACGAGGATCTTGGAGATGTGAGAAGATAAAGCCTTGATCCACTTCGAAGTGGAAATTGGATTCATGTGGGTCCTTGCCACGAAGTTAGTCATAAAAGTGAGTTTTCTCCACCTTGCTGTTTAGAAGTGTAGTTGGCGACAGTGGTGCTCTCTGGAAATAATATTTCTAAAAAATTTATTTTGAAAGGATTCACCAGAGAGAACATCTGAGCAGCCAGATTTTTGAGGGATAATTCTTGATTCCCTTGTCTTTTACTTTGCTATGTTTGTTTTCTTTTTAAAAATTTTGTAAAGATTATTTGCTTATTAAAGTTATTCAGCAGTTAATTGTCTCAAAATTGCCTATTTCATCAATATTTTCAGTGTTTATGTTCAAGCGGTGTCTTACTCATCTAGTCATTCTGCTGCTATAACAGAAGTACCACACGTGGATGGCTTTAACGAAGAGAAGTTTATTCTCTCACAATCTAGTAGGCTACAAGTCTAAATTCAGGGTGTCAGCTCCAGGGGAAGGCTTTCTCTGTCTGTCAGCTCTGGAGGAATGCCCTTGTCATCCGTCTTCCCTTGGTCTGGGAGCATCTCAGTGGAGGAACTTCAGGTCCAGAGGATGCGCTCTGCTCCCAGCACTGCTTTCTTGGTGGTAGGAGGTCCCTACTCTCTGCTTGCTTCCCTGTCCTTTTATCTCTTGAGAGAGAAAAGGTGGTGCAGGCCACACTCCAGGGAAACTGTTTACATTGAATCAGGGATGTGACCTTAGTAAGGTGTTATACAATCCCGCTGTAATCCTCTTTAACATAAAATTACAATCACAAAATGGAGGACAACCACACAGTACTGGGAATCATGGCTTAACCAAGTTGACACATATTTTTGGGGGACACAGTTCAATCCATGACAAGTGGGTTTGTGTATTGTCCTTTAAAAATATTCTGCATCTTTGGATCTTAGCTTTCTCATCTTCATTTTTTTTTTTTAATTACATAGATTAACTGGAGGTTTGTGTGTATGTATTTTTAATCTAGTTCTGATTTTCAGAGACAGCTCAAAGATTTAATTATTTTTATTTTCACTTGGTGTCAGAGTTGTTAATCATAAGTGTGTGTGTCTAGAAATATGTGTATACGAATATGTGCGGGTGCATATATACACATGTATGTGTGTATATATGTATTGTATGTATATATAATTTCTTAACGTCTATTATAAATGTCAAAGGTAAGATTAGTATGAAGATTACATAGATCCCACCCAAAGTATATGGAGAAGATAAGAATTTCAACTCTAGCTATAGGGTAATAGCAGAAAGAGGCTGTTAAAAAAAAAAAAAAGAGGAGGAGGGACGGCAGGATGTCACCCACAATACTAGCCAAACAAGTCTTAGATTAGAGATGTTGACTACAGTCAGCTGTGTAGCTGTGAACTGGCTAGCACAACTCCTCCTACCGCTTTTAAGCCTGCTTGGCACTACACTAGTGTCAGTCTATGATCTAATCTACTCCTTTTTCATTATAACTGTCCTTTCATCTTTAAAGTCCCTTGGATGCTGAATTCCACACACACCTGCCTCTTCTTGAAAATTGTTCGTTTGTTCCTTTATTCTTCTCACTCAGCACATATTTATTTAACTCTTACATGTGCCAGTCACAAGGGCAGATATTTGAGATACACATCATAAATTACATAATGATTTCTACTTGTCAATGTTATATATAAACATCATTTTGGAAATTCATCTAGGGCAATACAGTATTTAAATAAATATGAGATATACCTTTTGGGTCATGTTTCTTCTTAGAACTTTAAGGAAACATAAATGAATCTTTCCCCATTTTGTGTTTAGACGGATTCATTACTGTAATATGAATTTATTAAAAGTGGTTGGATTGTCCAGTCTTTGCCTGTTACTGTGTTAGAGAGTGGAGATGGGGAGAGAAATAGCATACCATTTATAAAGGACTCACCTCCCCCTCACTGACCAATAGGAATTCAGTTCCTAAGGCAACACTACAAAAGCGTCTTCTCTTGCTAAGACGTTTAATTATCATCCTTCTTGACTGCCAGTTCTCATTTTCGACTTATTATCAAAAGAGCACAAATGTCTTTAGCTTAAGCCCAAAAAAGTATTGAAATCCTACCGGGAGAAGGCATCTATTTTGCCAAAGCAGTGTGCTACCGACTGTGGAGTGGCCTACTTCATGAACCCTCCAAGTCCCTGGTTTGCATGATGGAAAATAATTCAAAGAGCCAAAAATGTGTGAGCCACATTGGGAAACAACCCTCAGATGCTGAGGCCTTTTGTGAGATGTTTAGGTGATTCCTGTAACTTGGAAGGGCCAGATGTTTCGAGGCCCCGAGTGAATCGGAATCTCTGCCATCGGTATAGGAGTAGGTCCTAAAAGCTTGTACACTGAGTTTCTGACCATTATTCTGGGAATAATCAGGTTGGGGCGGTGGCGTGGGGGTTGGTATCAGAAAGAGCAGGGCATGTTAACAGGGAGGATTTGAAGTGTTTGAAGAGGAAGATAAGAATTGGAGATAGTTTTCTATGAGAGTATGGTTAGTAGGTTGTGGGATGGGGAAAGAGATCAGATCTATGTTTTTCGGGATCTGAACCTACACTAATGACTTTCAACTTTTTTTTCCTGTTGTCAGTGAAAAGTACTTTGAACAGGGAATACAAACACAGATATGGGTCTTAAGACACAGTTTACTATGTAATCCAATATAGTTGCTACAGCTGGACCTCAAATTTGACCTTGAGCTTCCCTGTGGCCAAAGGAAAGAGGGAAATGTGCCCAGTGACAGGATCTGGTAGGGCCATATGACTAAAAACAAGCCAGTTGTTTCCTAGAGGCACAGATTTTCTCCGTGCTAAGCCCTGAGAGGAAGTTCCCCTTTGGATCCTAACATAGCAATGACCCCTGTGTGTAGTAGTTGGTCTGGGCAAACTCCACATAAGATACAACGTCAAGCTTCCCTTTATCCTGTATTCCGAGGCATTGTGTATTCTTGGCTGAGCTGGGTCTTTAATCCAGGTCTCTTCACTCTTAGTTCAGGGTTATGGACTAAACCAGGTGTAATTTTGAGGTTGTCACATCTCACTGAGGATGTTAGATCACGTCAGGTTCCCCTCTGACCCCTAAAAAAATTTTTTTTATTGGTGAATCAAACCAAACTCATGCCATTGATTCGATTCTAACTCATAGTGATCCTATAGGACACAGTAGAATTGCCCCATAGGGTTTCCAAGGCTGTAAATCTTTACAGAAGCAGAGTGCCACATCTTTTTCCCGAGGAGCATCCAGTGGGTTCAAACTGCTGACCTTTAGGTTAGCAGATGAGTGCGTTAACCACAGTGCCACCAGGGATCCTTTCCTTATTTGTAGGTAGAACCATTCAATTCCAAATTAAATTAGCATGAAACCCCAAAGATTAAAGGGGGAAAAGGGAATTTACTTAGCTCTATTAATCATAATTCTGGGGAATTTTGGAAGTTATACCTTTGTTTTTGGAATATTCCTAATGTTACTTTTTGTGTAGTGCATGTTTATATTATACCCAGCTTGTATGTGAGGGATTCTAGCTGATGATTTAGGGAGCCTCCAAGGCATAGCAAACTTCCGTCACGTTTCTTTCTTTTCCCTAGGTTTGCGTTTTCTGGACTCTACAAGAAGGAGCAGGGTATGGAAGCCCAGTTGCTAACTGCCCAGTCCAGGGTGAGTTGTGGGTGCCTTCTCTCTCCTTTGTTTTCTGAGAATCCCTTTTTGCTGAAGTCCTGAAATCCCTTTGCCCTTGAAATTGTATCTCAGACACTGCCTTCCAGTAGACTAGGCTTGTTTTGTTCATTTCTTTTGTAGCTGTAGTTTTATTTCCTTTAATATGAAAAAAAAAAAACCCAAAAAATGAGTTTATAAATTATATGGGTGGAGTCAAGCGAGGGAATATCAAAGGTTCTCAAAAGATGCTCCTGTTTTGTCCACACTAAGAAATCAAACCCACAGCAAGCTTCCTGCCTCAGAGATGATGAGCTTAAACCAGACCAAATCAAACCCATTTCTGTCAAGTTGATTCTGACTCATACCAACCCCATAGCGACCCTGTAGGACAGAGTAGAACTGCCCCATAGGGTTTCTAAGGCTGTAATCTTCATGGAAGCAGACTGACACATCTTTCTTCTGGAGAGCAGCTGGTGGGTTCAGACCGTCAGGAACTTTCAGTTAGCAGCCGAGCACTTTAACCACTGTGCTGCCAAGGCTCCTTGATGATGAGCTTAGCATGAGGTAAAGTGTATGGGTCTTTTATTAGGTTTCCAAGCAAAGAAAGGATTGAAAGGATGTGAACACGAGTTGAGTGAAGAGGACACCACAGTCTCTTTCTCTACCTGGGGTGGTTCATTCTCTCTGTCATGGCCACGGTCCTGACTTCTCTCCTAGCCTCTTCCTCAACTTCCAATAATTGCATTTCCTAGAAGGGCCTTTCCTTTCATTTCTCACCAGTTGTACTCGGCCTGAGGGTTGCTTGCTCTCTTTTGATCAGTGCATTGGGGATCCAGGAGCATTGTTACCATGAAGGATGGTGAGGGAGAATCTTCTTAATTCATTCCACATGGATTTCCCTCAGTTGTGCCTTAAACTGAAGAACTGGGAATCTTGGTCCTTCTTAAGAGTCGCTCTGGTCCCTGTTGTCCATGGGTGTTATGCTGGCTGTATGACTTCCTCCATGGGGAGCATCTGTTTGGAGGAACTCAAGGGACTAAATTATTGTAATTATCAAAGGGTAACTGTCAGACCAAGACACAAAAAGCCCACAGGAAGATGGAACTTCTGGGAGCAGAGTGACTTGGTGTGTCCAGGGTTGGAGATTCAGCTCCTTATGCCTCTTGTAGCTGCTTCCTCTGGAGGATCTCATGCTAATCTAGATGGGTGATCTGGGGAGGCAGGTTGAGAATGGGCCTGAGTGTCCTGCACGTGGTGTTCTCTGGCCAGTTTGTGGATGGCCAGCCCCATATTGGGGTGACTGACCAGGTGTTTAGTGTATGCATTAAAACCAGGAGTTTTAAATAGGTTAAGGGATCATGAGAAAATTTTTTTTTTTAATTTTTAAAAAATTTTATTGTACTTTAAGTGAAAGTTTACAATTCAAGTTAGTTTCTCATATAGAAATTTATGCATACGTCGTTACGTGACCCTAGTTGCTCTCCCTATGCTATGACAGCACACTATTCCTTTCCACCCCTGATTTCCCTTGTCCATTTAACCAGCTCCTGAGCCTCTCTGCCTTCTCATCTCACCACTGGACAGGAGCTGCCTGTTTAGTCTCATGCATCTACTTCAGCTAAGAAGCACACATCATTTTATGTCCCATTGTCCAGTCTAATCTTTGTCTGAAGAGTTGGCCTCCGGAATGGTTTTAGTTCTGGGTTGACAGAGAGTCTGGAGCCATGCTTTCTGGGGTTCCTCCAGTCTCAGGCCATTAAGTCTGGTCTTTTTACTAGAATTTGAGTTCTGCACCCTACTTTTCTCCTGCTCTGTCAGGGACTCTCTGTTGTGTTCCCTGTCAGGGCAGTCATTGGTGGTAGCCAGGCACCATTTAGTTCTTCTGGTCTCCGGCTGAGGAAGTCTCTGATTTATGTGGCCCTTTCTGTCTCTTGGGCTAATACTTTCCTTGTGTCTTTGGTGTTCTTCATTCTCCTTTACTCCAGGTGGGTTGGGACCAATTGATGTCTCTTAGATGGGCACTTGCTAGCTTTTAAGACCCCAGATGCCGCTCACCAAAGTAGGATGCAGAACATTTTCTTAATAAACTTTGTTATGCCAGTTGACCTAGATGTCCCCTGAAAGCATGGTCCCCAGACCCCCACCCCTGCTACTCTGTCCCTCGAAGTGTTTGTTTGTATTCAGAAAACTTCTTAGCTTTGGTTTAGTCCAGTTGTGCTGACTTCCCCTGTAGTGTGTGCTGTCTTTCCCTTCACCCAAGGTAATTCTTGTCTACTACCTAGTTAGTGAATAACCCTCTTCCTCTGTCCCTCCCCACCTTTGTAACCATCAAAGAATGTTTTCTTTGTTTAACCTTTTCGTGATTTCTTACAGTATTGGTTTTATACAATATTTGTCCTTTTGCAAGTGACTAAATTCACTCAGCATAATACCTTCCAGATTCCTTCATGTTATGTTTCACAGATTCATCGTTCTTTATTGTTGCGTAGTATTCCATTGTGTGAATATGCCATAATTTTTTTATCCATTCATCTATTGATGGGCACCTAGGTTGTTTCCATCTTTTTGCTATTGTGAACAGTGCTGCAGTGAACATGGCTTGTGATGGCTCTTATTTCTCTAGGATATATTCCAAGGAGTGGAATTGCTGGATTGAATGGTACTTCTATTTTATTTCTAGCTTTTTAAGGAAGTGCTAAATCGGTTTCCAAAGTGGTTGTACCATTTTACATTCCTGCCAACAGTGTATAAGTGTTCCAGTCTCTCCACAATCTCTCCAACATTTATTATTTTGTGTTTTTTGGATTAATGCTAGCCTTGTTGGGGTCAGATGGTATCTCATTGTACTTTTGATTTGCATGTCTCTAATGGCTAATGATCGTAAGCATTTTCCATGAGAAAACGTTTGAAGTTACATTTAAGCCAGGATCTTAAAAGAATGACTTGTGATTGTCCAAATAAATATGAGACAACACGCTTTGTGAAGGCCTACATTTTTAAGAGAGCATGGCTTATTTGAAGAATTAAAAACAGTTCACAGTGGCCTAACCATAGGAAGCAAAGGAGAGAGTGATGGACAGTGCAGACCTTCTGGACCTGTTAAGGACTTTGGACTTTAAAATCTTATGCTGACAGTAACACAGATTTTGTGTTTGCACTAAGTTGATGTGATTTCCCAGGAAGCATGTGCCCAGTTATAACAGGGCTGAGGAGAGAGCTCAGACTACCAGCTATTAATTTTTGAGGAAATAGGGCGGATGAGCTTGCAAGGGAGGCTGGGCCTGAGTCTTCCGGGTGGTGGATGGGAAACGGTGGGGCTGGTGTCTGGGAGACGATGCTTCAAGCATGAGAATATGCACAAACGTGCAACGTGCTGCCGAGAAGCCAAGCTACATCAACTAGAAAGTGAGAAGAGAGATCACTGTTGGCCTTGTTAGAGTAATTTGCAGGATATTCAGGGGACAGAAATTTGATTACAGTGGGTTGAGGAGGTGGGAAGTTGAGCAAATGGAGGCAGTTTTTTAAAAGAAGTTTGGTTGAGATGAGAGGAGATAGCTGTAGAGTGAACCAGAGTTGAGAGTGCTGGATTGTTAAACATGAGAGACTTTAGATGTTTAAATAGTGATGGTAAAGAGCCAAAAGGGAAGGAGAATTTGAAGGCACACAAGAATGTGCAAGCATCCTGAGATGTCATGGGATGAATCCATATTCAAGATGGCATGATGAGCCTTTTGATAGAGGGATGCTCTTGTGTTACAACAGTGATATCAAATGACTGATTTTCTCATTCAAGTTGTAAGTCAGATGGCATAGTGGAACACTTACAGAGAAGAAAGTTTGAAATAGTTGTGAAAAATGGGAAAATGACCTTCAAAGGGAAGGATAAAGAGGAGGATTGCTGAGGTAATGAGTTATGTAGAAGTTAATGGCCATGAATTTATTATAGAATCTGATTTCTGTGAATTTTCCCTAAAAGTTCTCTGCTTTTTGGGTGCGGGTGGAGGTTAGCAACTGGAAGGAAAGAAAAGAAGTCAGGGGGGTTAGGCTTTCAGCTAGAGAGTGTCTGAAGTGATGGATTATAGATTCTCAGTGAGGTGGAGAAGGAGAGACACCTTCTAACCATATGGGTCCCTTTATTTCCCCCTTTTGTGAAATAGTTGTCATATGTGTTATCTCTACATATGTTGCAAAACACCACCAGACAGTGATAGTTTTTTTTTTTTTTTTCCCAACTGTCATACATAGTTAAAGAATTTAGGAGGAGAAAACTAGCTGATTATATTTACCAGATATTTACTGTTTTTTAAAATAATAGTAAATATCATTCATTCATTCCTGAGATTTCAGGTTTGCCTTTTGAATCATTTTCCTTCTGCCTGAAGAACTTGTTTTGGCATTTCTTTTAGAGCAGCTTTGCTGGCAACAAATTCTGTTCGTTTTACTTCATTTGATAATGTCTTTATTTTGCATCATTCCTGAAGAATGTCATCACTGGATATAAAAATTCTGGTTGGACAGTTCTTTTCTTTCAACACTTAACAAAATATTGTTCTACTGTCTTCTGATCTCTGTCATCTTTGATGAGAAATCCTTAGTCATTCAAAAAAAATTTTTTTTTCTATATGTAACCAGCACTCTTTTTGATGTGGCTGAAAAAGACCTTGCATCTGTTACTGTCTTTCTTTGTCCAATTGTTTTGCCACTACTAAAATATAATCTTTTAACTTGTCAGTTTTTATGCCTACCAATGTTTTTGAAAAAAATTTTGAGTAATTATTTAAAGATGGTCATAAAATGTGGCTAATGTGTACATTTCAGATCATTAAGCATGGCTAGGGAAGTAAGTCTCTTAAGTGTTAAATCCTTAAGATCGCAAGACTTTTATTCCTCTTTTCTTGCTTTTATGTCACATACTTTAAGAGTAGATTGACTTTTGGTGTGTGATTCTCCCTGCTATAGCTGTTTATGACAAACTTGATTTAAATAAAAGTGCTTAGGACAGTTTCTACACCTAAAGCACAACAAGGAACTTATTTCTTGACTGTAGGTACATAGTACCCATTCCTTTTAAGACTTGACCAGAATCCCTCAAAATAATGAATACTACTCACCATTAAAATAAATTCTAGCCCATCCTCTTTCCCTGTTCCAGTGCTATCAGGCCGATCTCTCTTCCTGTCAATATTCAGGATAGGGAGGGCAAAGATATACATTTGGTTCAATATTTGTTTGATGTTTTAGATGCTTGTGACCTTCAAAGATGTGCTTGTGGACTTCACCAAGGAGGAGTGGAAGCTCCTGAATGCTTCTCAACAGATCATGTACAAACATGTGATGCTTGAGAACTATAAGAACCTGGTTTCCTTGGGTAAGATTCACTTCTATTTTTGTAGGAATGTATATTTATTGTGAAGATTTTGGTTCTTTGTTGATGCGACTTTGATGAGACTTTGAAGCATGTATCAGAGCTTAGTCTTGGGGTCCAGGGTCCTAATTTTTTTTGGGTATAGGTCAGGGTTTTGGTACTCTTGCTTTTATGAAGAAAATTGTTTTGCCAAATTTTTTAAGTACGTATTTCTTTTGTTGTCTCTGGACCTCTCCTTGCCTACTCTTCATAGTCCCTGAGGACCAAGGGGTTGGTGTTGAATCTGGGATGCTTCTTTATCTTCAACCCAAATCTCCTCTACCCTTGCCCAATTCCTTGTCTTTTCCTGTGAATAGGGCATCAGTTTCCCAAACCAGACGTGATACTCCAGTTGGAGAAAGGTGAAGACCCCTGGCTGATGGAGATTCACCAAGAGACGTTTCCAGGTAAGAACCAAACAGGAATCGTTGCAGGCAACAGCCCAGATGACCAGTGGTGGGTTAGAGCCTCTGTAGATAGTGGTCAGCTAGCTCTCCTCACAGGTACTTGTTTTTGAGAAGATTGAGTTTTTTACCTCCAGTTTCCCCATTTCCAGTCTATATTCTTGTCACACTTCTGTTTGCATTCAGACACAAAGATCTCTTACTTTTTCTTTTCTTTAATAATTTATTTTTGTTGTTGAGAATATACACAGCCAAAACATACACTAGTTCAAGTTTCTACATGTATAGTTCAGTGACATTGATTACATACTTTAGGTTGTACAATCATTCTCACCTTTCTTTTATAACTTGTTCCTTCCCCATTAATATAAACTCATTGTTCTCTAAGGTTCCTATCTAATCCCTTGAGTTGCTGGTGTCAATATGATCCCATATAGACAGATCTTAAAAGAGCATAATGCTCAAGGCAGTCATTCTTTACTAGTAAAACTAAACTATGGTTTGGTTTTAAGAAAACTTCAGGGGATACTTTTGGTTTAAGGTTTGAAGTTTATCTCAGGGCAATAGTTTCGGGGGTTCATCCAGCCTCTATGGCTCAAGAAAGTCTGGAGTTCATGAGAATATGAAATTCTGTTCTGCATTTCCCCTCTTTTGATCAAGATTCTTGTATACAATATTTAATCTTTAAAATGTTCTGTAATGCTAGGCGGGCCCCATCTAATTCTTCTGGTGTTATGGCAAAGGAGGCAGTTTTTTCATGGAGGCAGTTAGCCACACATTACATTTTCTCCTTCTGTTCCTGTCTCTCCTTCTTCCTCTGTTGCTCCAGGCGAATAGAGACCAATTGTTGTGCCTTGGATGGCAGCTTGCAAGCTTTTAAGATCCCAGGCACTACTCAACAAACTAGGAAGTAGAACAGAAGCACTAAACACATTATTAGGCCAGTTAACTGCGTTCCTCCAAATCAAGGAACCAAATCCCATAAAATGTTTGGTTGTACATAAACTTCCTCAGCAGGTACTAATTTTTTTGGGGGGTGGGGGGGGTTGTTGTAAATATACCTGTCACACAACTTTTGCCAATTTAACTTTTTACAAGTGTAAACCTTACTGACAGCAGTTACATTAATCAGCTGTACAGTCCTACCCTTAATGAGATTTTTCCATCATCATAAGTTGAAATTCAGTGCTACATAAGCAATAACCCCATCCCCCCCCACCTCTAGTAACCACCAAGAAACTTTCGTCTTTGTACTTTGCCTGTTCTTTTCTTTCTCTGTAACTGAGGTCATATAATATTTTTCCTTTTGTGAGTGACTTATTTCACTCAGGATAATGTCTTCAACCTTCATTCATATTGTAGCATGTATCAAGACTTCATTTCTCTTACTGGCTGAGTAGTATTCCATCGTACGTATGTACCACATTTTGCTTATCCATTCATACATAGAGAGCATTTAAGTTGTTTCTGCCTGGTGGCTATTGTGAATAGTGCTGCAGTGAACACTGGCGTACAAGTATCTGTTTAAGTCTCTGCTTTCAAGTCTTTTGGGTATATACCTAGGAGTGTAATTGCTGGGTTATATGGTAGTTCTGTGTTTAGTTTTTGAGGAACCACCACACTGTTTTCTACAACAGCTGTACCATTTTGCATTCCTACCTGCAACGGATAAGGGATCTAATTTCCCCACATCCTCGCCAGCATTTATTATTGGTGTCTTACCTCTTCATTAAAATTATTTTTATGTATGAAATCAAAAGAACAACATTTGCCCAAAAGGAAAGATGAGAAGGCAGGAAGGGGTTGAAAAACCAGACAAACGGAAATGGAGAACCCAGGGTGCAAATGGAAGGAGTGCTGATACATTGAAGGGAATGCAACCAGTGTCATGGAACACTTTTTATGTACAAACTATCAAATGAGAAACTAATTTTCTCTGTAAACTTTCACCTAAAGTACAATAAAAAATTGAACAAGCAAACAAAAACAGTAGAGGAAATGGTGCAAGGTATAGGGGAATTTTGTAACATTAGTGTAACTTTTTTGTAAATCTAAAACGATTCTAAAATAAAAAGTTTATTTAAAAAAATATTTTTATGTTAATGTGCTCGGATTCAGCCCTGTTCATGTTTCTTTCCTGATTATTACCACTAACTCCAAAACCAGTTGCCGTTGAGTCAACTCTGACTCATGGCGACCCCATGTGTTGCAGGGTAGAACTGCTCTCCATAGGGCATTCAACCTTTTTTGGAATCAGATCACAAAGGCTTCCTTTCTCTGAGGCGCCTCTGGGTGGGTTTCAACCACCAACCTTTTGGTTAGTAGTCGAGTGCTTAAGTGTTTGCACCACCCAGGGATTCCTTACCACCACCTCTTAAAAAAAACAACAAAACGAAAACCCACTGCCTTGGAGTCAATTCTGACCCATAGCGAACCCATAGGACAGAGTAGAACTGCCCCATAGAGTTTCCAAGGAGCGGCTGGTGGATTTGAACTGCCGACCTTTGGGTTAGCAGCAGTATTTTACCATAGCTGTTAACCACTGCGCCACCAGGGTTCCTCCTCTAGCATCACCATATTCATTGATTCTGATTCATAGTGTGGTGTGATGGATCGCTTTTGTGTAGCCTTTCTTGCCATGATATTGTAACTCCCAAGTGAGTGGGTGGGACTGTGCAGATAGGGTAATCGTGGTCCACTGAGGGGATTGATCAGTTTTGCCATCCTGCTGGTCTTGAAATGAGCCACCCCAGAGACGGGAAAGAAGACGATTCCACCACCACCAAGGAAGGAGAGCCAAGAGCGGAGTGTGTCCTTTGGACCCCGGATCCCTGTGCTAAGAAGCTCCTGGAACCAGGAAACCAAGAGAGAGAAACAGAGAGCTGTAACACTGAAGACAGTGAGAAGTAGTGGCAGAGAAAGGGTGGCAGTAGGGACAGGCAGGAGATGGTGCAGTGGACTTCCTGGCCTGCGGAGTGAGAAAGCTGAGTGCCTTTGCGCAGGAGGCTTTATGGCAGAATAAGGTGCCTCTGGGCACTTGCTGGAGCTAAGTTTGCTGACCCACGGAGCTAGAGCTGAGCACCTTTGGGCTGAGGCTTACTGGCGGAGTGGGGTGCCTCTGGGCACTCAGCAGCAGATCTAAAAGGTTTGTTACACTTGCTTGAACAGGGCAAAGGCCGAGGGCTAGAGAGAGGCATGCCTGTGAGCATGGCTGGGAAGAGACTGTCCTGATGAAAGAACTGTATCCTGAGCATCTCTGAACCTGAATTGTAACATGTTACTTCCCTAATAAACCCCATAATTGTGCGTATTGTCTATGAGTTCTTTGTGGCCATTGCAATGAATTATTGAACACACCAGAGAAGTAGAGAGTGCTGTGGGAGGGACGGTTGTTGTCAGAATTGGTAAACATGGCGGAGAGAAGAGGCATGTCTGACCCCTACCTCGTAGGAATCAGCCTTGGTCTTTGATGTTGATTCTCCTTTCCCCTCATGAAGTTAGAGGAGGTCAGACACCGCCCCCACACAGTTTTTACACATAGTCTCTCCCTTTGGGTGCTTAGCTACCACACTGTTCTGCCTAGAGCAGAATAAAGCATTGTGTCTTAGTATTCAAAATTCTGCTTGTAGTTCAGTACAGTATATATCAAGAACATTTGAGTGGAGAAACATAAAAGTTTACTGAAATAATGGAAAGATTTCTGTAAAAAATGGCGTCGGGCATTGGACCTCCTCGTCTTAACTTTACAAGGGTGAGGACAATCATTACCATCATCATCAGCCTAAGGCTGATTCCTGTGAGGTGGAGGTCAGACATACCTCCACCATCCATCCTTTTTACTAACTCTGACACCAGCTGTCCCTCCCACGGCACTCTACTTCTCTGCTGGGTTCAGTAATTCACTGCAGTGGCCATGCAGAACTAACAGATAATACTCACAGTTATGGGGTTTATTAGGGAAGTAACAGGTTGCAATTCAGGATCAGGAAGAACTCAGGATACAGTTCTTTGATCAGGACAGCTTCTTCTCAGCTGTGTCTCTGGCCCTCAGCCCCTTGGTCACTCGGACCTCAGCCTGGCCTCTGCCCTGCTTGGGCAAGTGTTGCAAAGCTCTTTAGTTCTGCCAGTAAGTGCCTGAGCTCACCACTTGGCCAATAAGCCTTGGCCCGAACGTGCTCAGCTCTCTTACTCTGGGTCGCAAAGCCTAGCTCCACTGACAAGTGCCTGGAGGCACCCTATTCCACCAGGAAGCATCCTGCCCAAAGGCACTCAGCTCTCTCGCTCTGTGGTTCAGCATGCCCACTGTAGCCACCTTGCTCTGTGGGCTGGGAAGCCAGTTGCGCTGTCTCATGCCTGTTTCCTGGTCCTGCTACTTCCATTTCTCTGCCACTGCTTCTTGCCATCTCTGGTGTTACAGCTCTCTTTCTCTGTCTCCTGGGCCTAAGAGATTATCAGTTCAGGGACCCCACGTCCAAAAGATGCTCTCCGCTTTCATCTTTTCTTCTTGGTGGTAGTTAGGTTCTTCCTGTCCGCCTGTGGGATGGCTCATTTTAAGCCTAATGGAATGGCAAAACCGACAAATCCCCTCGTTAGGCTTTCCTTGTTAGTCTTATTTGCATTATTAGGAAGCTGTCTAATCCCCAGAGGATCACTGGTGCCGCAGTGGTTAAGTGCTCAGCTGGTAATCAAAAAGTCAGTGGTTCAAACCCACAAGCCACTCCTTGGGAGAAAGATGTGGCAGTCTGCTTTCATAAAGATTTACAGCCATGGAAACCCTATAGGGACAGTTGTGTTTTGTCCTGTAGGGTCACTATAGGGTCGCTATGAGTCAGAATCAACTCAGTGGCAATGGATTTGGTTTGGGTTTGGTGTATCTCCTCGGTGGGCCGCAATCACCTTATTTGCATAGTCCCACCCAATCATTTCGTGAGCGTTACAAGACCATGGCGAGAAAGGCTACGTAAAAGTGATCCGTTGTACCTTAACTTCTAAATTGTGATTTTTTAAAGGACTTTTTAGTGTATGGATAAAGAGCAAAACTTAAAGACAAATACATTATGGAATTATAAAGACATTTAAAAAAAAAGAAGAAGAAATTAGGGAATCAGGAAATGTGGGCTACAATCCTAAGTAACCTGTGGAAGAACAGAGTGAATCCTTGTACCTCTCAGGATATCAGTTTGTTCTTTTTTAAAATGAGAGAATTGGAAGATATATGTTGTTTTCAAATTGCATTCTAAAGAGCTCTAGCATTCTAGAATTGCCTCTGGCTTTGGCAGGTGGGGCCCTACCTTCCTTGCCCAGTCCCCTCCCTTCCACTGGCTCCCCTTTTTTGTATTGTGGTAAAATATATATATGTGTGGGTGTGTGTGTGTTTGTATGTATATATATTCTTTACTTGCTACTTTAATCACTTTCAAGTGTACAATTCAGTGACATTAATTATATTCGCCATTTTGTGCAACCCTTACCACTGTCTGTTTCCAAAAGATTTTCACTAGCCCAAACAGATTCTGAGTACCTCTTTAGCAATAACTCCCCGTTCTTCCTCTCCCTGGCTGCTCTCATTTGTCGTAGAATCATCTCTTGCATACTTATCTCTCCTCTTTCATGTGTTCCATTCTAACAGCCTCTGTAAGCTGTGCACTGGGACCCCATCACCTACCACTTTTCTGAGAGTTTGTTTTGGGGACATAAATGAATAATTTCTTTTACAAGGATCAGCACAAAGCTGGTTCCTATGGGTGGAGGTTAAAGATGTCCCAGATGTCCAGCTTTCTTTTCCAAATTGCTGAACCACTCCACCATCTCTAACATCAAGTGTTCCTCCTCCCCTCAGTACTCTCTCTCCTGTCTTTGGGTCCTGTAATTCACTGCAGCATCTTGCAAAACTCGTGAACCATATCAAGGAAATGGTTCATGTGGTTGTGGAGTCTGGCAAGTCCCAAATCCGTGGGTCAGGTGTATGTATCTCCTGACCCATGTGGCTGCAGGGACTGACAGATCTAAACTGGTAGGTCAGACCACAGGCTGCTGGCTCACAAGGCAGTGGAAGCTGGTGAATCAGGTCAGATGATAGACTGCTGGCCCGCGGGGCTGTGGAGGCTGGTGAACCCCAGAATCTGAAGGTCAGACGGCAGGCCACTGGCTCAAGTCCCGAGTCCCAAGAACCAGAGGTCAGATGATCACAAACCAGACGTGGGATCAAAAGTGGGAAGCAGTGAGAGTCTTACCAGGGCATCCACATATATGTGTTAGCTGGATGCCACACCCCAGGGAAGGGTGTAACTCGAGTAAGGGTAGGACTTGAGTCACACCCTCATGCAAGGCTGTGACTCAAGATACACCCCCTTACCAATCTTGCCTCGTTAACATGTAGAGGTTAGAATTTACAACACATAAAATGGAGGAAAATTGCATCAAAATGGAGGACAACCATTCAATACTGGGAATCATGGCCTCACCAAGTTGACACATAACCCCAACCATTACAGGTTCCACGTACCTTATTTGCATAGTCCCACTCAGTCATTTTGTGTGAGTCACAAAGACCATGGCTAGAAGGGCCATATTAAGTAATTCATTGCTCCATAGGCCAGTTTTAAAACTGCTTCAGAGGGCTCATGAATTCCAGTTGTTTTCACTTGCCTTCCTTTGCAGAATCACTGCTCTCACAAACATCTGGCTTTCTCACTGTACCATAGCTCTATATGTATTGTTTTTTCAACTTATTTCCATTTTCATCTTAATATTTCTAAAATGTAAGTCACTTTGTGGCTTCCTAACATAATTCCTTTTCCCACCTTCCCTATGTATAGCTGTGCCATAAAGAAAATCAGCCTCCTAGGTTAAACAATATCGTTTATGTTTTCACACCTTTATTATATATAAAACCAAAATACCAGTCGCCGTTGAATTGATTCTGTCTCATGGTGACGATGTGTGTATCTGAGTAGAACTGTGCTCCATAGGGTTTTAAGTGGCAGTTTTTTGGAAGGAGATTGCCAGGCCTTTCTTCCAAGGTGCCTTTGGCTGGACTTGAACCACCAGCCTTTCTGTTAGCAGGCAAGTGCTTAGCCTTTTGCACTACCCAGAGACTCCTTTATTAACAAGTGATCTTTTGTTTCCAGTCTAAATAATTTTGACTTCTCTCAGCCATCTTAAATACTCCTCTCTGAATCATATACTACAAATAACCCACTTCTCATGGTGCAGAACAGATAGGAGCACTTACTACTGACTCCATGTAGGTTGCTACAGAACATGTAGCTTCCCAGGCCCAGTGCAATCTGCTCACATCTTAATTACTGTCTCAGTTATCTAGTGCTGCTATAATAGAAATACCACAAGTGGATGGCTTTAACAAAGAGAAATTTATTTTTTCACAGTCTAGTATGCTAGAAGTCCAAATTTAGGGTGCCAGCTCCAGGAGAAGGCTTTCTCTGTCAGCTCTGGAGGAAGGTCCTTGTCATCAATCTTCCCCTGGTCTAGGAGCTTCTCAGTAGGGACCCTGGGTGCAAAGGATGTGCTCTACTCCTGGCGCTGCTTTCTTGATGGTATGAGGTCCCCGTATCTCTCTGCTCGCTTCCCTCTTTCATATCTCAGAAGAGGCTGATTTAAGACACAACCTAATCTTGTAGATTGAGTCCTGCCTCATTAACATAACTGCCTGTAATCCTGCCTCATTAACATCGTAGAGGTAGGATTTACAACACACAGGAAAATCACATCAGATGACAAAATGGTGGACAATCACACAATCCTCAGAATCATGGCCTAGCCAAAGTGACACATATTTTTGAGGGACACAGTTCAATCCATGACAGTAACCTAGAGCTGTTCATCTTTCTGTTCCTCTGATGCCTGATGCCTACACATGCCAGGCATTTCCTGGCATCTTGGGCTTTGAATAATCTCTATCAAGCTGACAAAATCGTATTTGAAAGCAGCTCTACAGAGTCTCACGTACTTTGTCTCCACACACATCCCACCATTCTCACTTTAATACTTTCTTTAGTTACTCAGAGCTTTTTTATTTCTTTCAGATTCAGAGACTGCAGTTGAAATTAAGTCATCAATATCCAGTAAGAGCATCTTTCAAGATAAACAATCCTATGACATTAAAATGGAAGGAATGGCAAGGAATGAACTCTGGTATTTGTCATTAGAAGAAGTCTGGAAATGTGAAGACCAGTTGGACAAGTATCAGGAAAACCAGGAGAAACATTTGAGGCAAGTGGCATTCACACAAAAGAAAGTACTTACTCCAGAGCGAGTCTGTGAAAATGGGAAATATGGGGGAAATGGTCTTCTCCCTGCTCAGCTGGCATTAAGAGAGTATTTCCATAAACATGACTCACATAATAAAAGCTTAAAACACAATTTAGTTTTTACTGGTAATCAGGAAAGCTATGCAAGTGACAGTAATGAATGTGGTCAAACATTCTGTCAAAACATTCACCTCATTCAGTTTGCAAGAACTCAAACAGGAGGTAAACCCTACAAATGCCCTGATACTGATGACTCTCTTACTCATGGTACATCCCTTGGTATATCGAAGGACATGCATAGAGAGAAACCTTATGAATGTAAAGAATGTGGAAAATTCTTCAGTTGGCGCTCTAATCTTACCAGGCACCAGCTTATTCATACCGGAGAGAAACCCTATGAATGTAAAGAATGTGGAAAATCTTTCAGCCGGAGTTCTCACCTCACTGGACACCAAAAGACTCATACTGGTGAGGAACCCTATGAATGTAAAGAATGTGGAAAATGCTTCAGCTGGTTCTCTCACCTTGTTACACATCAGAGAACTCACACTGGAGACAAACTGTATACATGTACTCAGTGTGGGAAAGCTTTTGTTCATAGCTCCAGGCTTATTAGGCACCAGAGAACCCACACTGGAGAGAAACCCTATGAGTGTCCTGAATGTGGAAAATCTTTCAGACAAAGCACACACCTCATTCTGCACCAGAGAACACATGTCAGGGTGAGGCCGTATGAATGTAATGAGTGTGGCAAGTCTTACAGTCAGAGATCCCATCTCGTTGTGCATCATAGAACACACACTGGACTGAAACCCTTTGAGTGCAAAGATTGTGGGAAATGCTTTAGCCGAAGCTCTCACCTCTTTTCACATCAGAGAACCCATACTGGAGAAAAACCTTATGAATGTCATGATTGTGGTAAGTCCTTCAGCCAGAGCTCTGCCCTGATCGTGCACCAGAGAATCCATACTGGAGAGAAACCATATGAATGTTGTCAGTGTGGGAAAGCCTTCATCCGGAAGAATGACCTTATTAAGCATCAAAGAATTCATATTGGAGAAGAGACCTTTAAATGTAATCAGTGTGGAATTATCTTCAGCCAGAACTCTCCATTTATAGTACATCAGATAGCTCACACTGGAGAGAAATTCTTAACATGTAATCAGTGTGGGACAGCTCTTGTTAATAGCTCTAACCTTATTAGGTACCAGACAAGTCATATTGGATAAAGTACTAATATGAGTAGGGAAAATTCTTCACAAAGAGCAATAACTTTATTTTGCATCAGAGAACTCATTCTGGAAAGAGCTGTATACATGCAATCTGTGTGAAAATGTTTTCAATATTGTTACTATTCCTTTTGTGCACTAGAGAACATCCTGGGGTAAAAAAAGAAATGGAAAAAAAAACCTCTCAAATTACATTGCAGTAAATTACATTGGATTTTCTTCTTTCCACAAATTCCTACAAAAGAAATTGGCCTAGAAGCATTCTTGACCAAGCCTTAATGCTTGAATCTTACAAGGAATCATTAAGTTGGTGAGTTGTTATTAAGGGGTGTCCCAGCTTCATTACCTCATCAGAAAGGTAAATAATCGAGACTGCCACTGTAGAGAGAATTATTGCTGAGAAGAGTAAAAAATACATATAGATATTACAACAAAATATGGATAGTGTTATTCTAGTGAGTTAGTGTGCTGTTGTTTACTTGATTATCCAACTCCTCTGGGACACTTAGTAGTTTTTAATCTGTTTTATGTGTCTGGTGTAAACCACAGTTTGGTTAGCAGCGGGTAAAATGAATGCAGTAAAAGAACAATACATTTACACTGCTAGCAGTATGAGTTTTTAAATATATTTGCATGTAGGCAAGAATCGAAAGGTGTACATAAGTGAACAGAATTGATAGTTTAGACAATGGAATTATGAGTGAGTTTCTTTTTTATGGTTTATTCAGTGTTGTAACAATTATTTTTGAAAAACTTAAGATTTAAAAAAGGAATCTTCAATTTTCCATCTACCTTGAAGGAAGTTTGCTAGCAAACTTTTTCATTCATTCAGAGTTGTTTGGGGTCATTAGTTAGAGTTCCACTCTTGAAGACATGGTGCTAAAGGCACCTGAGAATTTAAAAACGCAGTAATTTTCTGGCTGATGGGAGCTAGAGGAAACACTGGGCATTTGAACAGGTCAGGGAGGGTCCCATTTGAGTGGTAGTGTATAATAGGGCAATATTTAGAGCAAGTATACTCATGGGATAAACACAGCACTGCCCAATGCCGCCCTCCTTCTCAAGGTGGTCTTTTATCTTTATAAAGAAAAGATAGTGCTTAGAGCATAGACTGAGCAAGACTACACAGATTGAAATCCCATGTCTGCCCCTAATTAGGTCATCTTGGGTATGCTATTTAGCTTCTTTGTGCCTAACTTACAGATACCCTTGTCTATAAAATAGGGGTAACAACAGTATTTACTTCATAGGATTGTGGTGAATATTAAACATGTAAACAAATTAGAATAGTGCCTGACACATATTAAGTACTTTATAATTATTAACTGTAATCATCAATATTATTATTGCCCCAGCCTAGTGTCTGTCACTTAATTTAAACCTGCCTGAGTGCTTATAAAGACTCTGTGAGTTCTCCCTTTCCAGTTCCATGTGGTCTCCCTTTTTTGCCTAAATCAGGACTTATCAACATGGGTAGTCTCTGACCCATGGTGGGTGTGTGTGGATTCGTTTCCGAGTTCAGTCAACCGTTTTTAATAATGTATGCAAAATTGTTCGTTTGTACAAAGGTGTTCCCTTCTAGGGAGAGGATCCCAACCTTCAGACACTCTGGTAAGTCCATGATGCAATAAACAAATTCAGGAAGAGGATCTGTTGTAATTCTCTGTTTCATTCTCTGACTGGATCTCCTGTGTGTACGGACTGGCGGTGATTTGCTATTTTCGAGCATATAAGATTCTCAGTGATTGTTGAATGATACATGAATAATATTGAGACAATAGGACAGAGATCTTGATGTCTATCTGAGTCAGTCTAGAAATGATTGTTAGAATCATAAGACCTGAGAACTAGAAGGAACATAAGAGATCTCTTGATTGTACAGTTGAGATCCAGTGAGTTGCCCGAGGTCTCACACACTTTGAGGGAAATTAGAGCTAGAACTGTTGTTGTGTGCCGTTGAGTCAATCCTGACTCATAGCAACCCGGTAGGACAGAGAAGAACTGTCCCATTGGGTTTCCAACGAGTGGCTGGTGGATTTGAACTGCCAACCTTTTGTTAGCAGCCAAGCTGTTAACCAATTTGCCACCAGGGCTCCACTAGATCCCAGGTTGTCAGTTATTCTCAGTGCTTACGTACCATTCACATGCATAACATAGTCCTATCTGAAGTATAATTTCATTATAAGTTCTTCATGGGAGTAAGAGTAGCCTTTTAGCTGGACCTCTGAATTTCTGATGACCTGTGGCCCACTTTCCTCAACTGTATTATGAGTACTGCTAGTATCTACCTCATAGGGTTATTATGGGGATTAAATGAGATAATATGTGTGAAGCACTTAAAACAGTACCTAGCACATAGTGTTATATGTGTTAGCTATTTTTTATTAACACTCTAAGGACCACCTCTGTAATGTGGACAGGGACATATGACTATGGATGATTACTGAAACATTATAGTCATGCAAAATTTGAAAAATTAAAGTACAGTAGCGTAATGGTTACTTACGGCATAACCATGAAATGGAATATTTTGGAGACCTTAAAATTATGTTCACAGAAAGTTTGGTAACATAGGAAAAGTGCTGATGCTATGATGTTTTATGAAAAAAGCATGATAAATAATTGTCAATCTGGAGTAAACTCAGAAATATGTAAAATATGTAAAAATAAATGCATTGTAAAAAACTGAAATGAATCTTGCTAAAAACTATACAGAAACTTGTTAACCTACGTATTGAGAGAATTGGAGTTTACTTTTCTGTTTGTTTATACTTTTCTATTACCAAAGTCTCCTTAACATTATATATTACTTTTAGAATCAGGAAACAATCTCTTAATGGATTTTTTTTTTTCTCTTCAGAAGGTCAAATCTGCAAAAAAAAATAAAAAAATAAAAAAGAACTAACAAGGGAATTTAGCAAAGTCACAGGATACAAGGTCAATATATAAAAATTTAACCCTGTATGGTAGCATCATTTCAATTAGATAATGAAATCAGAAAAACAATTTACAATGGCATACAAAATAAATTCTTACTGATAAATTTAATGAAATATAAGATCTGTACACTGAAAACTATAAAACGCTGCTGAAAGAAGTTAATAAAAAATACATAGTAAACACATAAGCAATGGAGAGCTATACCATGATCACGGATGTGAAGACTCACTGTTGTTAAGAATGCAATTCTCAAATCTTTAGATTCATTGGAACTCCAATCAAAATTCCTCAGGCGCTTAGAAATTGATAAGTGGATCTGAAATTTATATGGCAATGCAAAGGACCTAGAATAGCCAAAGCAATTTTTAAAAAGAACCAAGTTGGAGGACTTAACTGATTTCAAAGCTTACTATAAACCATTCTAATAAAGACTATGGTATTTTCGTGAGGATAGACATAGATCACTGAAACCGAATAGAAAGTCCAGAAACTGACCTACACATATGTTGTCAATAGAATTTCAACGAAGCTGCCAAAAAAAGATTCAATGAAGAAAGGATAATCTTTTTAATGAATGGTGCTTAACAACTGGCTATTTGTTGGTGGGGGAATCTTCAGTCCTCACTTATACAAAAACCAACTCAAAATGCGTCACAGACCTGAATGTAAAAGCTAAAAATTTAAAATACCTGGGAGGAAATTCTTATGAATTTCGGGCTAGGCAGAGATTTCTTACATCAGAAAAAGCACAAATCATAAAGGAAAAAAAAGATAAACTGAATCAAAAGTTTCAGCTCTCTTAACTAGATGGTGCCCAGCTACCACCAACGACCTCCCTGATGGAACACAACAGAGAGTCCCTGATGGAGCAGGAGAAAGGTGGGGTGCAGAACTCAAATTCCAGTAAGAAGACCAGACTTAATGGTCTGAGACTGGAGGAACCCCGGAAAGAATGGCCCCTGGATTCTCTATCAACGCAGAACTAAAACAATTTCCGAGGCGAACTCTTCAGACAGGGATTGGACTGGACTG